TTGTTTACACGAAATGTAAAGACCTACGCACACCAAACTGTCTTTTAATTAAGTGACAACTGAAGAATTATCGTTGAACTTTTAAAAGGTAAGCTTAAATATTAAAGCATTACTTAAATGCAGCGATCAATTTTTGAGTTCTTCTGTAGTTTATTGTTGCCTATCTCATCCGCTAACCTTATGCCTCGCTAAAAGAAACCTCAATCAAAAGAGGATCAGATTGCAATCAAGAGAGCCAACGCTACAGAGAGGAAAAGAAAGACCTGTGCAAATGAGGACCCAGATCAAACGGCAGTCAGGAGAGCTTCCATTTCTGAGAATATACAATGATTTAGAGATTCTCAAACTCCTGAACAAGCCGAGGGCTCAATCAAGTGCCCTCCGCAGGAGCTAGCTTAAATGCCGCCCGACAGAGCGGCTTTTAAGCTAGTTAAATGTATTATTATGCGAGCTAAAATTTTAGCAGCTTTTAAAGATTTTTTTTTCATGCTCTCTTTTGAGAGAGTTTTTGGATCTGCTCTCATTTCTTACGGCCAGAATCCGGGTAAATCGCATTAAACAAACATTTATCTCGATTTCCCAACCTGGAGATAATTTGTACCGAAGCGACAAATTAATAAGAAGAAAGTCGACAGGGTTTAAAGAATGATAGCTTGTATCTAAAGTCTCGGTGCATCCTACTCCAGACAGATGAAGGTGTGTGAGATTCTCTACGTTTCCCATCTACCTATCCCGCCATCTACATCAAATATAATTTAATTTGCTTTTGAAGGTGGGGAACTTTGAGATAGTGTCTACTTTACTAAGTCCATTTTAAGCCGTTCAAATCTTAGTGGAAGCTTCACTATACGAGTGGGTGTTGAAAACGTCTCTATCCGACCTACTTTTTGAAAGAAGTGTTTCCATGACCAAACCTTTCAGGGGAAAGGTTAAGGAAATTTGATAAATGGTGTTCCAAGTGTTCTTCTCTTTGACGTGCTGGACTAATCATTTCACCACAAGCAAGGCGATGAAGCCACTAATTTGCAATGGATTAAGAAAAGAGTAAAAGAAGCGGAGAGTAGACAGTAAAAGGAAAATATTCAAGGAGACAGTAGATGACCATTGGCATTGCATTTAAATTTTTGAAGATCACAGTTAACAGGAAATCAAGAAGCTGGAAGAGTGCTCTACAGGCAAGTAGCGCAGGAGAAGAAACTCTTAGCATAGAACGTACGGTTAGATCTAGCAATTTCAGATGTAAAATATTGGGACCTAGCTGCCAATCTAGTACAGCGCTTAAATTCGGGAAGTCGGGATACCAAATAGGAAAGATCATCAGAACGTAAATATTTATAGAAAAGGCACAGGGAAGCTACGTTGCGGCAGTGGGGAAGTTACTGAAGCCGAGATGCCAAGTCAGTACCAATAAGGTTGCAGACTCTTCTTTGGATTTTGTCATGAACCTTGACATATATTGAAGAAGGTCAGATGTGGCGGCTTTTTTATTATTCACGGACAAATGATAGACTTATAAGATAGATTCTGGTAAGAAAAATTGTCTAGCACTTTTCTAGTAGTTGATCCAGATGATCGAAATTAAACGCCATGTTTTGTTAGACCTCCTTGTCAGTCATCATTTTGTGGTCGGCTCAGATATGTCTGACACAAGAACAAAACTGCGGATCAAACTATCTATGAATGATTGAATAAAATAACACTTTTCTTTCTTTCTTTTTTTTCTTCTTTCTTTCTTTCTTTCTTTTAAGGTCTAGCCTCCTCTGTTCCTTTTCTCTCTTTCATTCTTTCTCTCTTTCTTTCTTTCTTTGCTCTTTTCTTTCTTTCTTTCTTTCTTTCTTTCTTTCTTTCTTTAAAGGCTGAATCATTTGTTACCTTTCCTCCGTTTCTTTGTTTCTTTCTTTCTTTTTCTTTCTTTCTTTCTTTCTTTTAAGGTCTAGCCTCCTCTGTTCCTTTTCTCTCTTTCATTCTTTCTCTCTTTCTTTCTTTCTTTCTTTCTTTGCTGGTTTCTTTCTTTCTTTCTTTAAAGGCTGAATCGTTTGTTACCGTTCCTCCGTTTCTTTCTTTCTTTTTCTTTCTTTCTTTCTTTCTTTCTTTTTCTTTCTTTCTTTCTTTCTTTCTTTCTTTTAAGGTCTAGCCTCCTCTGTTCCTTTTCTCTCTTTCATTCTTTCTCTCTTCCTTTCTTTCTTTCTTTCTCTCTTTCTTTCTTTCTTCCCTTCTTTCTTTAAAGGCTGAATCGTTTGTTACCCTTTTTCTGATTATTTCTTAAAGGCTTTCTTATCGATTATATCTTTACTCTTCAAACCTCCCTTTCCTTCCTCCGTTTCTTTCTTTCTTTTTCTTTCTTTCTTTTTTCTTCCTTTCTTTTAAGGTCTAGCCTCCTCTGTTCCTTTTCTCTCTTTCTTTCTTTCTTTCTTTCTTCCTTTCTTTTAAGGTCTAGCCTCCTCTGTTCCTTTTCTCTCTTTCATTCTTTCTTTCTTTCTTTCTTTCTTTCTTTCTTTAAAGGCTGAATCGTTTGTTACCCTTTTTCTGGTTATTTTTTAAAGGTTTTCTTATTGATTTTATCTTTACTCTTCAACCCTCCCTTTCCTTCCTCCGTTTCTTTCTTTCTTTTTCTTTCTTTCGTTTTTCTTCCTTTCTTTTAAGGTCTAGCCTCCTCTGTTCCTTTTCTCTCTTTCTTTCTTTCTTTCTTTTTTCTTTTTTTTTCTTTTTAAGGGCTGAATCGTATGTTTCCTCTTTACTGATTATTTCTTAAAGACTTTTTAATTGATTCTATCTTTATAATTCAATCCACCCTTCCTTCCTTCCTTCATTCGTTTCTTTCTTTCTTTCTTTTTTCTTTCTTTCTTTCTTCCAGGTCTTTAGTTAATTCCATCATTACCTCTCAAGCCACTTCCTTCCTTCCTTCCTTACAAAACTTTTACTTCATTCTATCTTTACCGCTAAATCACCTTCCTTCCTTCCAATGTTTCTTCTTTCCTTTATTTATTTTTTTACTTATTCCTTTCTTTCTTCCATCTTTCCTTACTTCCTTCTTGCTTTTCTTTCTAACGTCTTTCTTTCCTTCCTTCCTTTATTTCTTCTTTCTTTTCTTTCGTTTTATTTTATCTTTTTCCTCTAATGCAGAGATAATAAGGAAAAGAATATATATATATATATATATATATATATATATATATATATATATATATATATTGGGGTGGATTAATATCTTCAAATTCTCTCACTCTCATTCATCTTTTTCCCACCTCTCTTTCTCTCTCTCTCTCTCTCTCTCTGTCCCCTCTTACTTCATGATGTTGATCCCGACGCTGCTTATTCTTCTAAGTAATAAATTTCCAAGACTTACATTTTACCTAAGATAAGTAAATCACTCCTTTTTATCTACAAAATACAAGATTATATATATAGATATAAGATTTTTTTCTTTTATTTTTTTTATTACATGTTGTTTTGTTTTTTCGGGTTTTTTTTTTTTGTTTTGTTTTAGTTTTTCTTTCTTTTTTTTTACTTTTGATAACTAAAATATGTCGTTTTCCAACTTTACACTCGGCCTTTAAACGCATGTCTCAGATCATTCACACGATAACCCCCAGGACTAAAAATAAGACATCACTGGAGGAAAAATACATTTATTCTAACTCAGGCTCAACTCCTTCAGGCATAGAGTAATGGAACGACGATTTGGTTATCTGAGGGTTTTTTTTTTTTTTTTTATATTTTTTTATTTTTTTGTTTTTTGTTCTTTTGATTGCTCAGTGGAATATGTGCTTGATGTTATCGTTAAAAAAAAAAAAGCTAGATATTTACCAGTGGTTGGGTTCCGAAACCAGACTTCAGAAAATTGGCGTAACACAGTCTTCCTCCAACGTAATACTGGTGCAACGTAATCTCCCCCATTCCTCTTTATGTCGTGCTAAGATAGGCTTAGTGAATACCTTTGCATAAATTTGCCAGAAAAATATTTTTTGTCATCTGAGGGCAGTTTTAGTTGAGTTTAGTTTTTACTTAAGCCAAGATGACCGGTTTTTCTAGTGTTTGGTATTAACTTTCCCTCCTCTTCCCAAATTAGGATGCACCGCACTTGGCCAGTCACATAGTTGGTTAGTGACTCTCTAGTCTGGACACCTTACAGTTTGGGGTCGATACCGTGTAAGGAATTTGCTTCTCAGACACATGAAAAAAAAATCACAATCTCTTACAACATTCGAGCTGGATTTGTCACTAAGAAAAACTTCTATAATATTCGCTAGCTTTTTTTTTCTGTGTATGAGAGAAGGTATATAACAAATCTATATATTTGGTTAGCATTTTCCCTTTGCATAAATTAAAACTTTCCTTTCCGTTCTTTCGATTTCTCCGTAGATGTATTAATTTATACTTTTTTTATTTTATTTTATTTTTTATTTTTTTTTACTGTGATCGAGTTATTCTTTTGCCCTAGGAAGCTCTTAAGTGTTTCTACGATGCCTTGTCTTCACAAGAGTCAGTTTATACTGCGGCTATGCTGAGCGGACCTTAGTTATGGTTTCTGAGAGATAACGCATTATCTGGCATGATCAACAATTTGAACATGGCGAGTATGATTATGTCCGTTAATGAACGCAGCATATAATGAAATCCAGGATTTCAAATTCAAGCTTTCTAGGCAGCTACGCTCTTCCCACTCGAAATATTGACGCAACTCGATCTTCTTACATTTATCCGCCACTCTGTTGCTAAAGAGGCGCCATTGCTGTAGATTCTGAATAAAAATGGTTGGCTCATTCCTTTGCTCTAGGAAGTAAATGACTCTTTCTACGATGCATTGTCTTCACAAAAGTTAGTTTAGACCAGAAACGGAGGATTGCTGCACTATTTGAGCCGGAACAGCTCAGTCTTCACGTTCGGGTATTGATAGAATTGAAAATCTCTTACGCTGTCTTATGGCTAGGAAGATTTATTCTCAACTTGCATCTTCTTTCCCCACACAACGTTGCATGCTTGTCGCTACGCCATCGTTATTTCCACTGAAAATTTTCAGAGATGCTCCATTCTTTAGTTCCACCAGTTCAGATCTCTGTAGCTAGAATAAGACATGCTGCTTCCTCAGAGACGAATCGCATACTTTCCCTGTATTCCGAATTCTAAGAGGAACTTCCACTCAGACATCTGCCTCCCAAGCACAGCAACTTTGTTGAGCAGCCCCCCCCCCACGTTAGATACACCCCGGAATACTACATATTTAACATCGTGAACTCAAGATTCAACCATTATCTATTTTTTTAAAGATCAAATTCACCCCAAGCAATGCAGTAAAGCGATTAAGACACCAGGGGTTACTGGATGTGGAAGAATTAAAAAAAAAAAAACAGAATCATTACTAAGGTGTGAGAGCAAAAGAAGAGTAATCAGGTGGACAGCAGATAGCGACTGACATTGCATTTAAATTTTTGAAGATCAAAATTGACCGGAAAGCAGGACATTCGAAAAGATTTCCACAAATGAGATGTGCGGGAAGAAAAGACTATTAAGAGAACAATAAAAGAACAGGAATAAAGACCACGAAAGATAACGATTGACATTGCATTTAAATTTTTGAAGATCAAAATTGACCAGAAAACAGGACGTCGGAAAAGACTTCCACAAGCGTGACGTGCAGGAAGAATACACTATTAAAATAGAAATTTTTGAAGATCAAAGTTGACTGATAAGTAAGAAGAGAGAAAGAGAATTACAAGAGTTTAGTGAGGGGAAAGGACAATAAAAGAACAGGAATAAAGACCACGAAAGATAACGATTGACATTGCATTTAAATTTTTGAAGATCAATGTCTTAATCCGGAAGAGTGAAGCATTCTTATTACACAACAGTTGAGCACTCTTATCTTTGTTTCCGATGATATTCTCATGTTTCTTAATATTTCACTTGGTTTCTGGAAGGCATCTTTCACTGTTCCAGATTTCTGTGCTACCTTTTCCCTTCTCTGTTCTGATATTGATAAATTTCTGTTCTTGCTTTATTTAGAGTTCTCCAATTTGTCGCTTGTATCTTGAGCTGTCCCTGCTAATGACTATATATCCAGTCTTCTTACAATTAGTTAGTCCATTCTTCTTGCTTTCTTTTACTACAGTGTCTAGAAGTACTTGCAGTTAATGTCATCATTATAGCTTCTGTTGTTGATGTTGTGCGCACCAGTAATAAATCTTGACAGAATCACTAAGGCTCGTAAAATGTCTTTATTGTAGGGACTATCTTATTTAAAAAGTTTACTTGGAAGCTGGAAGTTATGCGAGAAGTGCAAGAAAAAACACTGATAGCATAGAACTTACAGTTACATTCAACTGGAAATTGATGAGGCTTTGTTGCCAGTCTGTTACTGCGCTTAAATTCATAAATAGCGAAAAGCTCATCCGGACAATTACCATGAAAGTATTTATCGAAATGGCACAGAAAAGAAGGCAAAGAAAAGGCACAGAAAAGAATTACGGTGGTGGGAAAATGGTTGAATCCGAAACGCTAGATCAGGACCAATAATATTGCTGCTCAATTTTTTGGTTTTTACCTTATCCTCATCATCTTCACCACCTCTTTCGTCATTACCATTTTAACAGTAACCCTTTGAGTGGATCTCAAGCATTGTATCATATAATATTTAGTATAAAAAAGGCTTTAATTGAATTTCTGTCATATTAAACATCCTAAATAGCAAAAGTAAAGTGGTTTTCCTGCTTTGCATCTTTTTTACATCTTTTTTACATCTTTAGACACAAAATGAAAACTGTAACATCTGTTTTACATCTTTTGAGAAGGTGCGCTAAAAATAAAATAATTTACACATCTGCAGTGCCGACGGAAAAAAAAACCCAGAAAATGTTAAAACGATATAGGGTAGAATTCACATCTGGAAAATCTGCAGCATATCAAAGAAAAAAAGAATGCATGGTTCACTGCTAAATTTTATTAAAGGTGCTTCTTTTTTTTTAATGATTCACTACCAAATAGAGATAGACAGACACGGCAGTAAAATCAAGTGCTTACATTAAATATGGTCCGTGCTCCATAGGGAAAAAAAATACTCCCGTTATTTGGCTAAAACAGAGTGAAAAATACGAGCTGTCTTGTCTTTGATCTGAGATATGAAATGACTTGTACCGCGCTGACATGAGACTGATGAACTCTTTCTGATGGGGTTAAAAAATAATGGAGAGACGAAAAAATATCTTCATCTCTGCATTTTTCTTTTCTTTTTGTTTTTTTTTTCTTTTTCTTTTTCTTTTCTTTTTCTTTTCTTTCTTTTTTTTTTTTCAATTTCAAGCAGAGGTGTCACACGTGATAAATAATGGAATAGTGTTACTCCCAATTAGTTTTCTGGGGTTCAAAAATACGCAAGTTTTCTGCCACTCCATTTTGTTTTAAAAATACTTTTTTTTAGGATTATTTTAAAGTGACTTTAGTCAGTCGGTCGATTCTGTTTAACAGCACAGTAACCTCTAAGAGTTATTTAATACCGAAATCTAAATA